TCCCCCTACCTGCCTGCCCGTACCCTCCGTTCCTCTGGCTCCGGTCTGCTCCACATCCCCCGCCCCAACCACCCTACTATCGGTGGCTGGGCCTTCAGCCTCTCAGCCCTAGGCTCTGGAACTCTATCCCCAGTGCCTTCGCCGCCTCCTCCCTTTCCTCCTTCAAGGCCGGTCTCAAGACCTTTCTCTTTGACCGTGCCTTCAGCTCCCCTCTCGACTCTCTATCCCTTCCTCGCTCCCTCCCTTCCCTCCCCTCACCCTGACCATTTCCCCCTGCTCGGGTCCTGACCCAACTGTACAGCGCCTTGGGACATCCTCCCGACATGAAAGGCGCTGAATAAATGGAATCTTGTTGTTGTTGTTGATTCAAGTGCGGAGGACAATTGAAAGCATTGTTACTCCACTTACTTCACTGCTTTGTCTCCTGCGCTTTCTGAGTTTTATCATTCAGCATTCCAGTCATGTGGCCCATCATACACACACTGCAACCAAAACAGAAGTTGCTGGTAACACCCACTAGGTCAGGCAGCATCTATGGAGAAAGGAAAGTGAGTCAATGTTTCGGGTCCAGGACCCTTCGTCAGAACCCAATACACACGCTGCGATGGAACTGACAAGGTTGCTCCTTGCTCTCCCTGTTTGATCACTGATTCCCTTTTCTCCCTCTCAATTTTTCTCCACCCAAAGAGTTGAGTTTCACTCCTGTTCACTGCCATGAGTGTCAGCTTCTCTCCAGTAACTCAGTCACATTGTTGGGGAAATGTTGCATTGTCGGAGGTACTATACTTTGGATGAGATGTTAACCTGAGGTCCTGTCTGCCTGCTCAGGCAGACATTAATGGTACTGTTGGAAAAGAGAAGGCAATTTCTCTCAGTGTCTTGGCCAAGAATCCCCCAAAAACATGTTGGTCACTCACTTCATTGTTATTTGTGGAACGTTGTAATGTGCACAAATTGGCTGCAGTGTTTGCCTACACTGTAACTACATGCTACAGTAAATCCTGTGGAGTCCTCTGAGATGTCTTGATGATGTGTCAAGGTGCACTGATTAAAACAAATGGAAAGATTATTATGTAGTTCTTACGTCTAGGTCAGAAGATTGTGGGCTGTTGATGACAGCACAGCCAACCTGGCTTATCGACAGGAATTGGAAGGGTAGACCATTCACTGATGGCAGGGAATCCTCCCACTCAGTTCCCGTTAACCCTACAAGCCAAAGCCCTAATAGGAGCAGTGGTCCTAGCTGAGTAGACAGTGAGAAAGCTTCCAGATAGAAGGTTGTGGGTTCAAGCCGCGCATCAAAAGTTTGAACTCACATAGTCTAGGCCATTGATTATCAAAGCAATTTTTTTTGGTGGTTTCAGTGCATGGCCGCAGAGCCAGTTTTCCAAAAATTCTTAGTTAATCATGTGAAAAGTAAAGGAAATATACATGTCTCAAATAGTTTTCACTTATTTCTGTACATTTGACAAACCAAATTTGAGAAAACACTTTTTTTTGAACGAGCCTATAGAGGATAACAAGATTACAACAGCACAATCAATAACATCTCGGGATACAGTATATAGTTTGGGACACAACATGTCAAGCAACTGTTGGTGGAAGGCAAAACAAACTAGATGGACCTTGGTCTTCGATCGCCTAGCAAATGCTTACGACCTTATGAAAATGCATAAAAATTCCATTATTAGGAAGCAGAATTATTGGTACAGTTGTAATCAAGTTTAGCGATCAAGAGAGATTACGCGAACAAACTTGCGACTACTTGGGCGTGGCCTGGGGCTGCTCTGGGCAAAAAAAGGAAGTTTTGCCCAGTGTCTTGACGAAAGTCCCCCAAGTAAAATTTGTTATTCACTGTGTGAAAGGCCACTCTCTGCTCAGCAGCCGGTTTGTGGCATAAAATCCGAGTGACTGAATGTACTTTAGGGGTTTGTTGGTCAAGGCACGGGAGAGAGAAACTTCACATTTCGAATAGCCAAGGGATCTTCAAAGGTCCAACTGAACAGGACCTCGGTTTAACATCTCAAGTGAGAGGACCTGAGTTTGATTCCTGGAGACGGAGAAACATTAGGCAAGTTTCCTTACTTCACACATCTTTGTTTACTTAGCAATAAATTGGAACCCAATTGTTAGTCGATTGGTGGAGCGAGGTAATAATTCCTCCAAATTCTTTTTTTGACTGTTTGTGGGACTGCTGTGTGGAATTGGCTGCAACTTTTTGCCCACAAAATACACAGTTAATCCACTTTACAATATATTCTGTGAAGTTCTTAGAGAGATCTAAACAATGTGATAAGATGCTATATCAAATGCAAGGATTATTTTTAATATTACGATTATAGTTTCTGAATTAGCTAAGCAGTGTGTATCCCTAAAGGGAGATAGTGCACATATATGTATGTGTGTGTATGTATATATATATATGTGTGAATTCTGCCTGGTTTGGATATGTAAATAGGTTGATATGTGTGCAGGCCTCCAGCTGACCAGAAGAAAATACTGTACAATATGTTTTTGTGAGTTGCAGAGTTCCAGGAACTGTCACCATGGAGATGGTGATCATAAGATTGGCTCAGATGAAGAAACCCCTTCTACTCAACTGATCTCATCCCCCCAGAACTCCCACCCGACTGTCCCTCATCGCTGCATCATCGCTGCATCAAGCTGCTTTTTAAATGAATCCAATGTCCCAGCCTCAGCCACCCTTCCTGCAACCTGTTCCAGTCGTCAATTGTCCTCTGGGTAAAGAAATCCTTTGTGGTAGCAATCCTGAAATTGCTCTTTTCAAACCTGAACCTTTTTAACCTCCTGTCTCGGTTCATCCAGAAATATTGTTCTGGGTTTACTTCCTCAATACAATTTGATATTTTATACACCTATATAAGATCTCCTCTGAGACATCTTCTTTCAAGACTGAATAGCCCTAGCTTACCTCGTCATTGCTCACAGCTTTTCCCTCTAACCTTGGAGATCATCCT